CAACCTTAATAACCACGACACTAATATAAGAACTAGCAGTAACCTAGATGACTTCCCAACAGCTTACGATAATCGATGCAGAAACGCAAGCTGCCATCTTTCTTTTCACGAGTACCACTGGCGATAGCCAAGGACTCTTTGATGGTTGGATTACATAATCCTCTAGCATCTTCTTGACTTGCTGCTGGATTACCTGATGTTCTTTCAGAGCGACGCGATATGGGTTCTGTCGGATCGGTCTTGCTGTGTCTCCCGTAATGATTCGATGCTCAGTCAGAGGCGTTCGACCCACTCGTGATGTCGATGAGAAGCAGTCCTTGAACTGGTCGAGCAGCTCTATAAGACGGCATCTTTCAGTCGGTGTTAGACTCGGACCGATATCGACTGGTGGTGTATGTGGAGGTGATTGAGCTGTGGCTTCTCCTTGCATTAGAAGACAGTCGTGAGAGTAGTCGAGCTCTTCGAGGTACGCCACAGCCGTGCCTTCACCGATGTGCCGGCGCTCATTCGTGAAGTTGGTCAGAAGCACCTCTGCGCGCCCATCCACTAAGCTGACGATGGCGCGAGCGATGGAGATGCCTTGGCGAAAAAAAGGGCAGTGGTGCGTTCGGCTATGACGCCTTCATTACAGTGCACGCCGCAACAAATTGAAAAGGGACTACATGACAGTGGTGGCACGCAGACGTCGTCGTCGACCACATGTAACACCCTGAATTCTTGGTCTGGATCATGGGTCACAGACTTGTCAGCGGCGAATGTGATCACACCATCGCCTATGTTGACCACAGCACCATACTCTCTTAAGAGGTCCATTCCCAGTATCAAAGGTTTGCAGCACTCCGGTAGAATCAGAAATGTGGCTACAAAAGCCACATTCTCAATCGTGAGTTTTGCTGTACATTTTCCCATGGGAGTCATTATCTGGCCTCCAGCATTTCAGATATAAGGGCCCATCCATTCCATCCTGACTTTCTTGAGTTCGTCTGCCAATCGTTCACTCATTATGGAGTAGTCTGCACCAGTATCGACTAAGGCCGTCACTTCAACGCCGTCAATCGTCACAGCAAGGTTGGCAGCCACAGTTTTCTCGGCTGAGTCTTCATCGTCGTCTCTCACGTGTTTCGGCAGCAGTGGGGAATTTTAGGCAATTCGACGGCTTGCAACCTTCCCCCAGAGGTCGCTGCTTTCAATTTTCCACCGTGGGCTGGGAGACTGACCTCTGATGGCGTCAGCAAAACTACGGGGCTTGGTGAACCAAAACGAGCCGGGGATGGTGAGCGCGTCCGGAAGGTAGAAGAGCCTTCCCGCCTGCCAGCCTGGTCGTCGTCGTTGGGGGCACGGCTTTCGTCGAACTGTCGGCGCGTAGCTGTAGGTGCACTACCGTGGTATTCAGTTCGGCCATGTGGGCGAAAACAGTAAATGTGCCCTGGCACTCCACAGCTGTAGCAGAGTGGTCGGCGATCCGCAGTGCGCCATATGTTGGTCTTTCGCATATAGGGTCGCCTGACACAATCCTGCTGAGCCCATGCTGCCACAAGATACCGTTCGAGGTACTGCGGCGCTGGCATGGGCGTGGGTCGACGAACAGTGTCTGCATAGCTGTATCCGTTCGACTGGTAGGATACTTCTGGAGCCAATGGACGACGCACAGCGTCTGCGTAGGTACACGAGTTCGGACGGTGCGGTGGAGTGGAATATTGCTGAGGAGAGGTAAACGCTTGTCGAAGTTCATGGCGAACGACTTCAGCGACGGAGGCCACCGTGGACTCCTGCTGCGGGGGCGCCTGTGACTGCATTGTGTATTTTGCGTTCTCATTCGCGATCGCCTCACGCACGATCTGTCTAATCAGGTGGCGTAGAGAAAACTCGTCGTTTGCGGTAAGTGCGGCGGCGCCTGCAGCTGCGCCGGTGGCCGGGCGATCGGACCGTCGGTACCGTTTCTGCAGCGCACGCTCTATTGCGGTGGCCTCCCTGGTGAACTCGTCCACTGTTGTTGGCGGATTGTGCACAAGACCAACAAATAGCTGCTCTTTGACGCCCATCATGAGATGTCTTAGCTTTTGAGCCTCGGGCATGTTGAGGTCCGCGCGGTGGCACAGACGCACCATATCCTCAGCAAACATGGCGACGCTTTCATGCAGCTATTGGGTGCGTCCTTCAAGAAGGCGTTGTGCGTTTTCGCTTCGGTCTGCGTTACCGAAGGTGTCAAAAAACCGACGGCAAAACTCCTCCTGTGTCGCCAATGTTGCCTCCCAGTTTATAAACTGCGTCTTCGTGCCGTCTTCAAGCGCGAAGTATACGTGGAAGAGCTTTCCATTGGGACTTCAGTAGTTCGATTTAGCTACCCGTTCAAACTGCTCAAGCCAGTCTTGCGCATCTTCGGCCGGCCGGCCATGAAATTGTTCAGGAATGCGCATATTCTGGACCATCACCTGTGCAGGACTCCTTGCCATTTCTTGAGTAGGGGTGGCTGTCGGAAGTGTTGCTCCCTCTAAAAGGCCAAATTCTAGTTCAAGACCTTGAAGGCGACGGCTTGGGCGGTGCACAGGCGTCTCCAAGCGTGGCTGTCTCGTAGGGCTGAACTCGGGGCTTCTCACAGGGGGGCTGATCATGAGGTGGTAGTACCCAGCTCCTCCACCAGTGTCGCTAGTTATAAATTGCAGGTGGTCTATTTAAAACACGGACAGTGGAAGTTGTCGAGACGCTCTCAGAGAAGGCCGCTTAAGTTTATCGTCTTCTTAACTCGCCTGCGCTGCACCTCTCGAGGAAATCCGCGTTCTTCGTTGTCGTCGCTATCTCGCCGCTAAATGCAGCTATGCACGCGGCAATATATGCTTCGTCGGCACCCTGATTCTGCTGTGTCTGCATGACTGCTAATATTCTGCTGATAGTTTTCTATTATTCAGTTGAAATATCAGAACTGGTTCTTAGCTCTTATAAAGGAGGGCGCCGCTTCGCGTTGACGCAATGAATGACAGGCTGACGAGTATCATTACGGAGTGTGCAGTGGAAGTCAGAGGTACAGCTCTTAGACAGGACACGGGTAAGCTGTCTAAGGAGACGAAGAACCTCATATAAAAAACGTCAAAGCATGAAAGCCTGAAATACAATAAACAAATGAGAATTGGGAGAGCTTACGAAGTTGAATAATAAGCGTAAGGTATCCGATGTAAGAGGTATAACATGGAGAAACTGGAACACGCTCTGAGGAACAGAGGAAGCGTCGAAGCAGTGAAGAGGATGCTTGCGATAGGCAAAAAGCAGATGTATGCACCGAGGGACAAGGGATGCAAAGTAACTAGTTATATGGATAGGATAGTTAAAATAGCGGAGGAGTTTTACAGAGATTTGTATAGTAGCCGGGACAACCACGACCTTAATATAAGAACTAGCAGTAACCTAGGTGACTTCCCAACAGCAATGATAGAAGAAGTCAAAAAAGCCTTGGAGGGGATGCAAAGAAGCAAAGCTGCTGGTGGTGATCAGGTAACATCAGATCTGCTGAAAAATGAAGGACTGATTTTGTTAGGAAGACTAGCCACCCTGTTTACGAGGTGCCTCCTGACCGGAAGGGTACCAGAATCTTGCAAGAATGCTAACACCATCTCAATACACAAGAAAGCAGATCACAAGGACTTGAAGAATTTCAGGCCAATAAGCTTGCTCTCTGTCGTATACAAGCTATTTACGTAATTGCTAACAGAAATAAATCAACATTAGAATTCAATCAACCAAAGGAACAAGCAGGATTTCGAACAGGCTACTGAACAATCGATCACATTCATACTATCAATCAGGTAAGAGAAAAATGCTCAGAATACGACCAACTAGTATAAATAACCTTCATACATTACGAGGTGTTTTATTCAGTAGAAATACCAGCAGTCATGCAGACACTGCGGAATCAGGGCGTCGACGAAGCATATATAAAAATTCTGGAAGAAACATACACGGGTTCAACTGCCACCATATTTATCCATAAAGAAAGCAACAAAATACCAATAAAAAGGGGTGTAAGGCAAAGGATACAATCTCGCCAATGCTATTTACTGCGTGCGTGGAGAAGGTTTTCAGAGGCCTAGAGTGGGCAGTGCTAGGAATAAAAGCTAATGGAGTGTAGCTTGGTAACCTGCACTTTGCCGATGACAATACTTTGCTGAGTAACTCAGGGGAAGAATCGCAACTCATGATTACGGAGTTAGACAAGGAGAACAGAAAGGTAGGTCTTAAAATTAACCTGCATAAAACGAAAGCAACGCACAACAACCTCGGAAAAGAATAGCGCTTAGAGATGGTAACAGTGCACTTGAAGTTGTCAAAGTATTACGTCTAATAGGACAGGTAATAACTGCGGAAGCTGAACCACGAAACTGAAGTCACTAGAAGAATAAGAATTGGGTGGAGCACATTTGTCAAGCACTCTGAAATCAGTGACTGGTAGATTGCCACTATCCCATAGGCGGAATGGAACAATACAGCTGAATCTTGCTGGCGCATAGCTGTGGAGTATAAACATGGAGACTAACAAAACGGTTCAGCTTAAATTGAGGACGACACTGCGAGCGGTGGAAAGCAAAATGATAGGTGTAACCTTAAGAGACAAGAAGAGAGCGGAGTGGATCAGGGAACCAACCGAGGTTAAGGATATCATAGTTGAAATGAAGAGGAAAAAATGGACGTGGGCTGGGCATGTAGTGCGTAGACATGATAACCACTGGGCATTAGGGGAACTGAATGGATTCCTAGAGAAGGCGAGTAGGGTTACAGGGAGAAGAATGTTAGGTAGGCAAATGATATTAAGAAGTTTGCGGGTATAAATGGCAGCAGCAAGCACAGGACCAAGTTGACGGGTGGAACATGAGAGAGGTCTTTGTCCAGCAGTGGACGTTGTCAGGCTGATGGTGATGATAGTTCTTCCACTGTGTTAACACACACATCATATTGCTCTTTGTTGCAACATTTCTGATTTCGAAACAAGGAAAAATACTTGAATATATTACCATTAGGATTGCAATGTCGTTGCGTAGACTTGAAATGTCAAATCTAGGATGCCTCAAAAAACGGGCAGCTTGTTTGTAGGGCCCTTTTAAGCCCTTCATTCCGTAGTACACCTTGATACTGGAAACGGGATCTTCTTTTCTGCACATGAACAGTAGGAACAGTATCTCAGAAGTGTGAAATAAGCTGACAAATTGCATAATTTGTTTGAAGTGTAAATTTTTCAAACACACGGCACGAAATATAACAGAGAACAAGAACTATGAAAGCACAACTGGGAGTTCTTGAAGTTTTTCCCGGATAGCAGGCAGTAACACGAACAAAATATTGACACCTGTTTGCGGCAAGAAAGACAACAGCGCAAATGCCTGTATGCTACGGAAAGAAGAACGAAATGAGAAAGAACTCTTGGAAGGGTAGGGGGGGGGGGCGTTGTTAAAGGACTGACATGCTGATATGCACAGCAACGTATTTTCCGTTTTAAAGATAAGTGTATTTCATACTAGAATATACTAGAAATAAATATACCTAATGTTTGTCATTCACATGAAGTCAATAAAACACACGTAGGTGTGTTTTATTCTGAAAGCGACACTAACAGCTTCTTTTTAGGATGCCCAACCAGAGTATGCGCGGCAATTCATTCAACAGTTCTTGCACAAGGTCGCTCCTTTTACGCGACAGCGTTAGATAGCCTGCTTCGCAGAAATTCCGGCATCGGTGTCAGTACTTCGCGTTGGTGTTCGTTTCGCTGTTCCTGTGGGTGTCTTTGTTGTGAGCGAAAAATTATCACCTTGAGCGTGAGTGAAAAATATGGAAAGATGGAAATAAAATAAATACTAAACATTTCCGGGTTCAAGTGAGAATGCATAGCTAGGCCGTTTGCCTGGAAAACAGGTGCTCTCCGACAGATCCACAGTGTTCTTTTTATTTTTATGTAGCTTTTAACACAAATGAGTTGTACGTATATACACGCTGTACAAATACTTAAGGCTACCTCAACAAATATGCAGAGCATTACAAAACAAATTCCATACACTGAGGTCTAAAACGGTACTTGAGCAGTGCACTTCACCAGCTCTTCATCAGGTTCGTCTGAAACTGTCGTTCATAAAGTTATTTCAGATGCACAGTCAGTTTGAACGAAATTTGTCCGCGAAGACACCATTGGATCCGAATGCCTAGCCAGCATTTGAGCTTGCCATAAACTCTGCGTGCGTATAAAAAGAACATGTTGACTAGAATATCATTAAAAGCACTAGAACATCATTTCATCAGTTCTAAGGACGCAATGATCTTCTGCGACGTCCTGCAGCGGACTTTAAAAAAACAACTTGATTTAAATAAAGCCATTTTTATTCAATTATTCATTTGATACTGTCAACCCTGTGCTCGGGTTATTACAGGGAGGGTTTCACATAATGCAGAGTATTCAAACAATAAAACAGTATTCAATATCACATAGGGAATAATATGTGTATATACATTATCAGGAAAAGAAAGAACAAAGAAACAAACAGCAGTGACTATGCCAATAAAAATCGAGAAACAAATGCTGGCAACAGAAGTTAGCAATTATCAGTGCAGAGAAAACTGTCTAACGCATCTTAAAGTTGACTGGGGTCGTTTGTTGCACAAACAAATGAAGTGAACTATTCCACATTTCTATTGCGTCTGGAAAAATAGGAGTGGCGGAAAGCGCTCTTGCGTGCGAAATAGGGCTTAATAGCTCTGCTATTACTAAGACGATCACATCGCCTTTGAGGTGGCTGACGATATTAATTGTTGTTTATTTTGTTTGCCCACTCACTTTGCCCAATCTTAAAAAGAAACTGGAGGCATTGTTTTCGCTTGCGGTATTCTAAAAACTCAAGCTCACAGGACTGTAACAAGGCCGCGACGGAGTGTATGCGTCGGTAATAACCACAAACAACACGGACCGCTAATTTTCGTATTCTCTTAATTTTAGTCTTCAAAACCTTCTGGTGAGGTGACCAGACAATACTAGCATACTCTAAGACTGGTATTATGAGTGTTCTGTACGCAGTTAGCTTCATGTCCGGTTTGGCATGTTCCAGGTTTTGTTGAGGAAATAAAGTTTTTTATTTGCCTTAGAAGAGATGTTATCTAGATGAGAGTACCACTGCAATGTGTGCATTACACTAACTCGTAGATATTTATTACATAAAGGTTGATTTTCGATATGATACATGAAAGACAGTTCCCGCCCACCTGAGTGAACATATGTGAATGTTGTCTTGCCGTAGTTTATTTCCATGTCCAACTTTTTGCACCACTCATCTAATGCCTGCAAGTGCCTGTTCAGATATATTTGCTCGCTTTCACAAGTTACTGGGGAATGAACTAAGCAGTCATCTGCAAACAGTTTCATTTGCAAACAGTTTCATGTTATTTTATTTATTCCCGTCATTATATAGTCATCCTCTGCATCCTGACTACGCCCACTGCATGACGAATGCCTCTCTCATGTTACGCCATTCAACCCGAACCTGTGATTTCTGCTGCCACTTTATACCAACACACCCTATTCTCTTCTGCGCACCTAACTTTCTGTCTCTCCCTCACCCGCTTGTCTTCTCTGTGAATCCAGCCAGTTACCCTGTATTACCAGCGGTTATCCTACCTACGCGCTACTTGTCCGGCCATTGTTGAATTCTTCTTGATTCAACTTCGAAGTACGGTAAAATACCTCCCTCTGTTTGAAAATGCACCTAAGAAAGTGTTCTTTTTTCCGAACCCAAAGAAAAGTGAAAATTTGGGTCATATAACCTGACGATTCCTTTTCGGTAGTCACTTGACTACATTTAGAAAGTCAAAACAGAATAAAAAATTGGCCCTGATCGTCATATTACACTGCAAATGTCGTCAAAAGGCGATACTCTTGTGTCTGGAGAGAGTGAAAAAAAAGCACAGCATATCCATGTAGTTAGTGATCATTTGTTATCTCCAAAACAATATGGGTTTCGAAAGGAGAAATCAACAGAATCTGCTTTAGTTAACATTAAAGAGAAAATGTTTCCAAAATGTTTCCTCTGTACAATAGGTATTTTTGTTGATCTTATAAAAGCATTTGATTCAATCAAGCATCATATTATTTTCAGAAAGCTCCCATATTACGGAATACGTGGCATGGTATAGAAGCTTTTGCAGAGTTATTTCTTGAATATAGTACAGTTTGTTGTAAATAATAACGTATTATCAGATGCTGCATACCTCGCTTTTGGTGTCCCACAAGGGTCTATATTAGGACCAGTACTAGCTCTTCTTTATAATATTGTCAACATTCCTGAGACACCTGAAATTGTGTTATACGCTGACGACACAAATATGTTTCATTCTTCAAAAGATTTAACAGTCATCGCACGTGATGCGAATATTTACCTCCAAAATTTATCGCAGTGGTTAAGTGCGAATCAGCTACATTCAACTACACATAAAACTAAGTATATTATCTTTTCTGCTATAAATAAACCAGTCCATCGTCAAAATGCCATATCGCTCGAATCAAAAGTGTTACAACAAGCTTCAGAATGTAAGTTTCTTGGTGTCTACTTACACGAATTCCTTCGGTAGACGTATTATGTGAACTATGTAAAACGTAGTGTAGCCCAAACAATTGGCGCCCTAAACAAACTTTGTATGTTGTTACGCGAGAACATAAAATGACCACTTTTGCATCGTGCTGTTCACATAAGGCTGCAGTATCGTATACTAGTTTGGGGCGCTACGTCAAAAACAAACATTTATGTTCTTTATCTAATTCAAAATTGTGATTTACGATTCATTCACAACTTATCAAGTGAACACGTTTCTTCCTATCTTAAATATAGCTACATATTGACTATTAAGGATATATATAATAAACGCCTAGCTGAAACAGCCTTCCTGAACTTTAAATCAGACCAAGAAATATTTTTATCGAATATACTAATGCTGATCTGCATTAAAGTGTCAGACACACTGCATTAAAAAAATCAGACTAGGACAGGATACGGCATACAACTGCTCCAATGGCAGACACCAACTTTTAAATATGTACCCTTCTCTACTTGATGTGATGTACAGCTACTCTTCTTTGCTATTCTTCCGGAAAAAATTTAAACAGCTTCTACTCGAGCAATATTGTCATGTTCTTTTGTCTCCTCTTTTGTAGCTCTGTTATTGCGTGCGAGTGTGTTTTTTTGTGTTTTTTGTAAATATGCTTTTGTGTTGAATCTCTGTAAAACACTTTTTTTGGCGTGTAACAAGAGCTCTTTTTTATTTATGCTTACAAAGTTTGACTGCAGGCTCCAGAAATGAATACAAATTGTGTATGGTTTGCCTGATATTGTTGTATAGTTGATTAGAGAATTCTATAAGGTTTTGAATTACAGTTTCTAAGCTATTTGCGTTTTGTATTAAACTGCTGCTTGTGTGATTGTGCTGTCCTGGGGCTAAGGGCCTAGTCCGGCGACTTTAAATGTTGCCTTTTGCCATAGCGCTAGGGCCTTTGCTGCCGAAAAAATAAAAAAAATTCAAGTCAATTCAATGACTGGGGCGAAGCATCCGTCAGCACGTTCGTGCTTCCATCCTGTCCATTCGTTCTTGCTTTCGTCCGTCCACGCGACCATCCGCGCGTCCATCCATGTGTCTGTCCGTTTGTCCGTCCATGAGTCTATCCGTCCATTCATCTGTCTGTCTGTCTGTCTGTCTGTCCGTGCGTTTATCTGTCCGAACGTCCGCCCGTCTATCCATCCTTCCGTCCGTCTGCTAGTCTATCTGTCCGTCCGTTCGTGCATCCATCTGGTGAACACTCCAAGTACCACCCTCTCTCATCCCGCATCCCCTGTGGCACATACCCGCTCTAGAGCGGGTACGTGCCACCGGTGGCACCGCACCACTACATACATACAAAGGATAGATAGACCCACGCCTTAAGGAGTTTCGTTCCTAAAAAAACTTTGATTTGATGTCCGGCACAAGAAAATCAGTGAATGCTTTTCTGGAGGTGCTGCGTTAGAGTGCCTCGAGCGTGCAGCGGAGGCGAACGAGTGCATCGAGGCACGTTATACACGAGCGCCATCTTTCAGTAATATTCGGAAACGAAGGAAGGCATGCACGCCTGCGGAGAAAGATAGGCG